TCTATTGTTATGTTTGGTGCATAGTTTCAGCTGGAGTCAATTTTTTGGAGATAAAAGGTAGTGGCTAATGTCCTTTATAGCATCCCGAGTCCAAAAGGGCTCCAATACCCGAGGCATTAACCACCAATGACAATTGCTGACCATGGGCATGGTAACCAAGTGCTGCTGAATTTGTAAGATCAGTTTTACATTATTAAAAGGCTGCAATTGCTTCTGCTGTCCATGGAAAAAGGCATTTAACATTGTTCTTACAATCTTTTAATAGGGAATGAAGCATAGCTTGGGTACTAGCTACCTTAGGCAAAAATCGTCCATAAAAATTCAACATTGATAAAAACCTCTTTATTCCAACATTATTACAGGTTTAGAGAAGTTAGGAATTATTGTAGATTTTTCAGGAACAGGCCAAACACTTGAAGATGTAATTAAGCAGCCAAGAAATCCTACCGATGACTTTCTCATAATACATTTAGAAGGATTCAATTTTAGCCTGCATTTTTGCAATCTATCAAAAATCAAACAAAGGTGGCTCTCGTATTCAACTTCATTTGCTGAAGCCACAAGCAAATTATCAAGTAAGTAAAACAAAAGTCTAAGCCAGAAAGTACTTGATGAATAAATATTTAGAACATCCAGCTTGTGTTTCACAAAGAAACTAAGATAATCCAAATGGGGGTAATCGCAGTTGTTTTAGGTACATTCTTTGGGTTAACAGGGATTTGATAGCCAATTCAAGTGTTGAAAAAATATTTAAAAAAAAAAAAAAAAAAATCCTGTGTACAGTCCTGAACATGCTGTACAGGATACTGGTCAGGAATAGTCACACAGTATTCAAGTGGCGAAAATCACCACAAGTGTGCCTATCGTGCTGCCCGGAGTAAATCTGGCGACAAATGACGAGGTTTATAAAACATGAGGACCTTTAGTCTCAATATAATGGAAAATTGTTGAAGTTCAAATACTGTTGGTTACATAAGAAGGAAGAGTGAGTTCAGAACACTCAACTAGTAATTTATCAAACTTAGAATCACCAAGAAGTACAGACACACCTAAATCAAAGGAACTTTTAAACAATTTGCCACACGATGACAAGTGGTTTATACACACTCGATAAGGCAAATATTAGCAACATCGACAGTCCATATTTCTTAGGGAAATCAGCACTAAAATTGGTTGACTTACATTTGCAATGATTAATAATGAAGTAAAGGTACGACTAAATTTAAATCCAAAATAAAACGTTTAGTTCCGAAATGTGGGAATCTTAGTTCCATCTGCAAAGGAAAAAAAAAATAATAACTAGTCCTCCAAAGCCAAGAATACTGAGCATACTTTGTTGGTAATACTGACACATCTGCCCCAGTGTCAATAAAATAATTTTGACAAAAGGTTGGCCAACAGTACATGATCCACACGGCGAGCATCACTGTCACCAGCAAGTGATTTGACATTTTCTGTTTTTTGAAGGGAATTGGAGGCTGACTTTTTCCTTGCACATTCACTAAAATTTACATGATGGAAACACGTCTGTTCACTCTTTATAACATTAATTGCATTCTCATGCCCTACTATGTCGGTATGAATGACAATAATTGCGCTCAGAACTGCAAGAATTACATCCTAAGGCAGAGTTAACTCACCAACTTGCTTTGTCAGTTGCATAACCTGAAGTTCTAAATGAGCTGTAGCAGATTCACTTGGCTGATAGTTTATATTCACATAAGAGTGAGATGCGAGCTTAGTAGTCTTACCAGTGACCGTAGTCAATTTATTCAAATCATAATCACTTAAGAGCAGCCAAAATAGATTATTTATTACTGGGAAGTCTTCCAAGCCAAAAAGATCTTAACAAGGGCTCACCTACAGTATCACCAGCTAAAACACACACAAGTCAACAACTGAGAAAGACGCTGGTCGCCAAGTTCAAGACCTTGCAATAAAGTCTGAATTTTTTACACTTTGCTTTCAGAATGTATTGCAATCTACCTTTGTTTTAGGAAATCCTGTTTGCCAGTAGAGAGAGGTTTTAAATAACAAAATTACTGAACCCACAGTAGCAACAACATGGTTAAATTTTGTTAAATCCGAAGTTATTATTGGAAAGAGGAAAACTGCAATTTCAGTCTAACAAACCATAATGTAGGACTTGTTTTCCAAAAAGGCGGTAATTTTACTGAAACATGCCGATATAAGTGTAGCTACTATATTTTCAGCTGGAAAATCATCAGCAGAAGTTTCATTACGTGACATGACTATAAAATTTATAAAAGATATATGATTCTAATTGCAGACACAAGAAAAATATTAATAGTAAAGCATGGTATCAAAGCATAAAACAGCTATCATGCAACTATACCCATTAGGGATACACGTGAAATTGAAAAATAAACAAATATTAACAACATGTAAAATATTCATCTTGCAAAAATACACTGTACATATTATGAATAAGGAAAAACAGACTCCAGTGAATGCCAAGAAGGTGTGATAAAAATATTTTCTGTAAGAAATACATTAAAAAAAAAATGTTCTAAAAATTGTTCACAAATTCAGTCAAATATAAAAAATACTTACTCTTAATTCCAAAAAACAATCATATGAAAAAATAATTTAATCCTAGCTGCATTAAAAAAAACTGATAATTTAAAAAGGTAATCCAGTTTTCAACACTGACACACAAACTGCTGAAAACCTTCACCAAAATGTTCTTGAGAATCATTTGTACTAAAGTCATGCCACACAATCAATCGCAAAATCAATCCAGGTTGCTAAAAAACTTCCTCAGCAGCACGTAAAATTGCAGCATACTTAATTTGGATAAGTTCTGTTTGTAACTGGAGAAGAGTCATCTGCACAAAATCATAACCAGTTTTCAAGGCAGGTGTAGCTGCAACATACGGTGCACCAGTACAGAACTTTCTCTAGTCACAAAATATAGCAATGTTTTATTGCCATCAGACTTCATCAGAAAGGCCTAAGAATCACAAAACTTCAGCTAAGTTAAAATAAACTTTATTTAACGTTTAAAAAAAAAAAGAAAATCACATCTTACAAGAGGCTAAATAATTAAACATTAACATACATGAGCTGACGCCAGACATCAGCATCAAACAGGCAAAATAAGATGAGAAGCAGTACATCTCGGCAAAAAAGTTCAAAGTTTTTATCCTCATACTAAGGTGAGCACATATGCATATAGTGCAACAAAGATGAATGCTGCCACTCACCGTAATGAGGATTTCTGCCATAAACACTAGCCACAACATAAAAAAAAAGCTTCTTCAACATGGAAATTCGTCATGTAATTCCCACCAAATTTGACAAGAAACATGATACCTGTGTACAACATGGACATCAAAGCCTGCATTACGTACCATTTAAAAGAATTAAGGGTTAGAAGGGAATTCTTACCAGAGGGAGTAAGACAAACATGTGCCTTTGCCACAATTTGAATGTGTTAAAAAACATGCATTGTAATATTTAAATGCTGAAAAATTTTAAAAGGATAAATCTCTTGATATTCAGAGTTTCACATGAACTTCTAAGTCGTCTATGTGTAATGAAATTAATGGACATAAATAATTAAATATATACTGACAGAAAAGAAAATCCCAACATCCAGAAAAATTAATACAGAGTAATGAAATTCTGGCAATACATTTGTATAGGTAACATATTTAATTGATTAAATTTTCAAGATCAGAAGTTAATGAAAGTACACAAAGAGCCATTTCAAATGTGAAATGCTGGTACATCAATAACCAGTATAACCAGCAGAATTTTGTCGTACAGGTGCCAGATGTCAGTTGTTTGTGGAATGGAGTTCCATGCCAGTTGCAGTTGATCAGTCAATAAAGGTGGTTAATGCTGGTTATATATGAAGCTGGGCTTTTTGTCCAATAATGTCCCATACATGCACAATTGGAGAAAGATCTTACGATCTAACAGGCCAAGGCAACTTGTTGACACTCTGTAAAGCACGTTGAGTTACAACAGCAGTATGAGAGCGAGTTTTATCCTCTTGGAAAACACCCCCTTGAATGCTGTTCATGAATGGCAACAGAACAAGCTGAGTCAGCAGACTGACATAAAATTGGGTGCATGGGATAACCACGAAAGTACTTCTGCTGTCATATAAAATTGCTTCTCAGACCATAACTCCAGGTGTTTTTCTAGGCCACAGACAGGTTGTTTGCAGGTGCTCATCTGGCCTTCTAACAAACACATGACCATCACTGGCATCAATGCATAACTGGCTTTCATCAGAAAACATAACTGATCTCCACTACACCCTCCAAGCTTGACACCACTGACATAGGAAATTGCAGTGGTTTGGAATCAGTGCTACAGGGCGTCTGGCTCGGAGCTGTCCTTCAAGTCACTAATTTGTAATAGCTTGTTGTGTCAATCGTGGTGCCAGATGCAGCTCAAATTTCTGCTGCAGATGCAGTATGATGTGCCACAGCCATATGCCGAACTCAGTGGTCTTCTCTCTCAGTAGAACTGTGTGGCTACCTGGAACCCAGTCTTCTTGTGTTAGTGTTTTCCCTTCATCACTGCTGCCAACAATCATGTACAGTGGATACATTCCTACCACATCTTTCTGCAACATCGTTGAAAGAAAATCCACCATCTTACAGCCCTATTACAAGACCTCGTTCAAACTCACCGAGCTATTGATAATGTTCATCTTTTTAAAGACATTCTTGACTAACATAACTCACTACATCAAATCTCAATGATAAATAACACTCATGAGTTTTACACAGCATACGTAACGCAAACATATTTGCACGTTCACAGTGGTGGTATTAGCATCATATTTATGCACCTAGCATGAAATTTGAATAGACATCATCTTTCAGATGTATAAACATGCCTAACAAATTTCATTTCTCTAGCATAACTCCTTCTTGATATCGGGATCTTTTTTCCCTCAGTGAATAATCATGTAAAGTGGATATAAAAATTACACAAACAATTTTAGAAAAAAAAAATACCTTTTGCAGGAACGCAGGAATATGCTGCCACTTTATCAAACTGTCTAACTATAAAAGTGCCATTATCCTCTGTAGAACACATTCCTTTGACTAAAACAGAGAGGTATAATCGCAACATATCAGCAGGATTTCCAGTTTCACTAAATGTTTTACTGAGAATTCGAGATAAGTTCTCATATTTTTCAGGATTAAAATCTCGTGTTTGAAGAACAATCACAAACTGTTTTACCTGTAATTAAAAAATTGTTTATCACAAAAGATCACTAAAAAACATAATTTATAGGTAAACTGATTAATTTTTTTAAATAAAAAAGTATTCCCAAAATGTCAGTCAATTAATGTTTTTGTTGTTGTCTTATCCATGTTTTTCATGGAAGAAAGGTTGCCAGAGCTTTGAGGAGGTGGTTGGACTTTTACTACCTTTTCAATTTTGAGGAACAGCAGCCCGGGGGTGATCCGAGAGTCTTCTACCACACAAGGACTTTTGGTTCACCATATATTTAGACTGTCCCAATGCCACAACGACATTGTACATTTACAAATATCCATACATTCTCTGGGATTCAAATCCGGGCTCTTTGGTACTTGCAGTAGGCTTCCCTAACCACTATACTGTCTGGGCAGCCACTCAGTTAATTATAGTTACAAAACACCTCAAAAGTAATTTTATTATTTTAAAACATACATACAGTCAGTCACCTACCCTTATACTGACCTTCGGAAAAGTGGCAAAAAATAACACTACGTCAAACAGTTATTTCATGGAATTCTGTAGAAAAGTCGGCAAAAATCGCAGTTAGTATGTTATTTCACTAAAATTTTAAATGATTAAGGAATTAAATTATCATCTAAAGTTATACAGTAGATAAAATTTGAATAAATTAATTTTCAAATAATTGATATTTTGTTGCATCAACATAATACTGAGTTGATTATTATTATATTTTCTATGGTTTTACCCACATGATTTTTTTTCAAAACTTTTAATTTCTGTCGATTTTGTTTATTTTTGCATTTAGACTAAATTTGTATAATCAAAATCGCAATAACAACCTTGTGTTTAGCGTACATATATTAAAACACTCAATCGATTTCGATGGCAGCTAAAGGTCCCTCCTCATCAGGAGAAAGAAATTACTAGAAAGAAGGAAAAAAGAAGAAAAAGCATTGGCAAAGGAGTCTCAGAAACACGTGGTTGTTATCAGCACTGCACACGGTCGTAATTGGATTTTGAATCAGAGTTACACTGGCCACCTACTTTCACTGAGCCAGGCTATCTGATCAAACATCTAACACATAGACTAAAATGTAAAAAAATCAGCAAAGTAAAAAATAGGGAGCAAGGGGCAACTGAATCTTCACGCACCAAGTCTGTACCTCGAAAATTAATTTGTATAGTTCAAATATTATTTTAATGTGAAATAGCACATTTTGTCTTTCTTTTTAATTTGTTCTATTTTATGAATTCTGATGTTTACTAGCTTATTCAAATATGACTCAGATGAATGGAATGATCGAAAAAGTGGAATGTTTAAATATTTGTAAAGAATGTCATTATTCAGAGTAATATTCTTGAGGTGCAATGTATCTTTCCAGGAAGATGTTTCTTTTTCTCTTCAAAGAAGCTATTTAGTTGCATTAGAAGCTATTGGGTGCATGTTCAATGCTTCAACCAACATTATGACATTTGGAAACACTAAAGACAGACTACAACAGGGATATGAAATCTATATGTGACAAATACTACTTTCTATATTATCTGTGGAAGTCTTGTCAAAAATTCTAGAGTATGAGATCTTTTTCAGCACTAAAAGCTTAATCTTTTGTTCCACAAACAAAGGTACATCATATTTGTTCAGCATCCTCACAGGCATCATATAAAACTGAAAAGACCGAGTTTCATTGCACAGTGGGTTAATGCAAACATTATCAGCCTGTACTATTATTGCAGGTAACATCTGAATATACTAATACTTTGGGGGTTCCCCGTTATATGCTGTAAAGTATAGCCTAGAAGTTTTCAAAAATTCATATTTTTGGCATTATTTTTTAACAAAGGAGCTCTAAGGATATCTGGACATTCTGACAAATAAATGGCATAGTTTCCCAAAAGAAAATTAATCCATGGAATGTAAAAGCTGGCATGTATGAATGTCCTCGTTCTTCATAAGTGGTTTATACATTTTAAGCAAATGCTATGTTGCCATGACTTTATTTTAATGAATACATGTCCTTTAGGCACACAAACCTTCAAACCTAAATATTGGCATATGGTGCTCTTAAAAAGAGACAGTTCCTCTCATGTGTGTCCCTTAACAAAAGTAAATATGAGAATCTAGGTTATCGCCTATACCGTTTAATTCAAGTTTCTTAAACAATCACAAATTACAATGTAAAGAACATCTAAAAATAAATATTTAGTCCAGTCTTAGCGAGTTTTACAAATTGGGAGAAAATATTTATTTCTAAATTTAATAAATTTATATCTTCTACTTTTAGCTAAGGGAATAGTTTAGAGAGAGAAGAAAATAAATAGCTAACACTTCCACACAAAAATACATAGCTAACACTTCCATTTCAACTTTAACTAACGATTCAGTTTTCAAATGTTATCAAATTTGCATATGTATTGTATATGTAGTATTCAGATAACAGTGAAAAATTCCATACAGATTAAGGAAATGATAAACATTTCTCTACAATAACAATCAGGTTCAACTACAGTTTAACTGCATAAAAACGTTACGAATTAAATATGCTGCCATTGGCAAAAAGTTGCCAAATGTGTAGCAAATTGAAGGAATCGGACATTTACATGAATAACTTGATATCTTGATTTATATGAATAACTTGGCAGTCTTTATATGAATAACTTGAAGAACAGGGGAAAAGCTGTAAAAAGTTGTTCTACTTTTGTATGTGTTTCAGATTGACAGGTCTTGAAGTACAGTGTTCAAGAGTCAAAAGAAAGACGTGTTCATAAATATGGTAGATTTCTTGAAATATGTAACATACTGCCATCTAACAGGAACACGAACCTGCAACATAATTTGATGAAATATTATTATCCAGAAGTATGAAATCATTATCTTTTTTTCTATACTAACCCATGACTAACGGAAGCAGATAAAAATCTCCACAAATCAAAAATCCAAAATATAGAGAAAAATTAATATATTTTTTTATTTTACAAATGCCAAACATTACAGCCATGGGCTCTCCAGTACTTTTTAACAATGCCCTCATAGTGAGAAAGTGCAATACAATTATTAAAATGTTAAAAAATCATAGGCTGACTGGAGTCACACAAAGTAGAGTTTTGGGAATTCACCACTCTAATTCTGTAGAGGAGGTCTCACAAACAGTTGTGTCCAGTCAGACGTCTAAATAGAGCTACTACTGTCTTTCTTAGAAAACAGGGAATGAAAGTTGTTTCTTCCCCCCAGAATCCTCCAATTCTTATCCATAGCACGTTGAATCATAACCTGCTTAAGAATTTTCTTAAGAGGTTAACAAACAATTTAGTCGTATGAAATGAAAGCGGTCGATTAATGCGTTGCATTATGAAAGTTCCTTTCTTAGCCAATGTATCAGTTTTTTCATTTCACAAAATTCCACAGTGGGCTCGAATCCGCTGGAACAAATTTCTGCATGCCATTGCCTTAAGCAGAGGATTACAGTCTAAGATTCATTGGGAACTATTTTGATTATTCAGAAGAGCTTGAAACACACTTTTGGAATCTGACACTATGACTTCCTTTACAAAAGAGTGGCTATGAATCGAGAGTTGTTGAATAGCCACAGCAATAACTTTGATTTCACCACCAAAGGCAGTAAGAGGGCCTATTGGTAAACAGAAACTAAAAAGCTTGCTATGGATACTTGCTCCAACACCGCACGTTCTTTCTAACAGAGCTGTCAGTCTAGATGTGCAACCACTCATTTTAAGGATAGCAAACCTCAATAGTTTCCATTCCAATAGATCTTAATTGTGAATTGCTCATTTCGTTTTTAACAACTCTTTGAATAAGATCAAGATTTATATTCAAATTAAAAAAGTCTAAAGAACAATGTTGAGGAGGTAAAATTAGATAAACTCGGCTCAATTCCACAGTATCAGGTTCTCTCTGAGCAGCTTGTAATTTGCCAATTTGAGTTTTCAGATTTCTAGAAATTTTCATTATAGTTCCTCCAAAAAGGGTTGTCAGGCAAACGCATCAGCTTCTGGTATAATAGGATTGCTTTTCTCTTAATACAATCATGAACAGGTTCCAAACCGGTTAAAAGCTGCATTGCAAGAATAGTAGATCTCACTGCCCCAGTAATTATGCATACCGCTTGGTTCTGGAAGACTTCGAAGATTGGACTACATTCTCCTGAGCCGTGACGAGGATCTTGCAACAATGACCAATAATTGGTTAAATATATTATTTGTAAGTAGTCGTAAATGTCTCTCTGTCACAGCCCCACCTTGAGCAGCCCAGATGGTTTTTAGACAGAGTCGTCTTATGGCTTTATTTTTCAAATGTTTTGCATGTTTCCTTCAATTTAAGCATAGATCGAGGATGCAAACCAAATATTTTGTCGAATCAATATGTTGAACGGCTACACTCTTATATGTCAACTTTGGGGTAAAAGTCTATCGGTTTAGAGTGAAGAACTGGAACGTGCTCTTATTCTGATTTACTCTCCTACCAGTTTTTGGACAATAATATTCCAGCTCTTTCAGAGCACTATTAAGAGTTTCATTTAAACCATCCTGCTTCTTTTTAGAAGCACTACTCCAGATAACCAAATCTCTTGATGTATATTGCCAGGGCGTTTTCCTGTCTTTAGGAAATTAATAGCTTCTAGATCTAAAATGTCAAAACCTCTTGTCTAAATCCCAAAGTCCTATGGGAGTCCTTGATCAACTTCTTCATCAGATTCCGATCTCTCTTCAATTCACCACTCAAACGCTGATTAGACACATAAAAATTCATAAAAGCGTTAAAAATAGACTTGTCAAATTTTAAAGCCTTTCCTTTAAAAATTACTGGTGCCTTTGGGGAAAGGGGGGTCATCACGTTTCAATTTATTTACAAATTTAAAAACCTTAGCACCCTCTTTATAATACTCAATTATTTATAAAAATATTAAAGCTCTTGTGCTTTGCTAAATTGATTTTTTTACAGAGAACTGCAATACTCTTTCTCCAATTTCTGGCATCTTCCAGGTTGTTAGAATTTT